GGCTAACACAAATTTGAAGACATTAAGAGGCAGAGAATCTTCCTTTGGCAGTTTGTTCCACTGATTAATCACCCTGGGCACATCTACACGTGCATTTCAATGTGCATTAGCTTATTTTAAAGCACATTAAAGCATCACAAAAACCCTGCACTTTCACTAATGTGCATTAAAATAGGCTAATGAGCATTTTTCTAGTACCTCACATTGGAAGTACTGAATGTAATGCACATTGCTGGTGCTGGTCCCTGCAGCCTTACCTGGGGACCCTCCTGGGGCATCAGTGGTGCCAAGCTAGCCACTCAGAGCCTGGCTGGCAGCCAGTGTGGCTTTGCCTGGCCAGGCTCCATTTCTGGCAGCGCATACTGCTGCTTTGTGCACCATGCTGCTTTTTTTTTAGCAGGGATTTTTTTTGACATCAGGATCTCCCTGTGTCAAAAAAACCTAATGCTAATTAGCAGTGCAGTGAAGGGGTGTACATGTGCCACCTAAAGTTTGAGATACCTCAGACAGGTTTGAGACACTGGAAACTACACGTGCACGCTCGTTGGGATGTGCCCTATTAGTGTTAGCTTGAGTTTGGAGCAGTCACACTTTGGTTGAAAACATTCTCAGACTGTCCCCCACCTGCACAGCTGTGACTTACCACTAGAGGCCTGGCAAGCAGGGGCCTGACTAGGAGCTACAGCTGTGAGTTGTCAGTACAGGGCTGATAAGCCAGAACAGGCTTCTATCCCTGCTTTAGGTGAGGGTGTGAGAGAGATGGGATAGAGGTGGGAACATGAAGCTGGGAGGTAGAGAGTTAATAGTATAGGGGTGTGTAATGAAATGGGAAGTGGAAAGGAAATGGGGGTGGGGGAGGAGTGGTGAAATGAAGAATGAGGGCTGGAGGGAAGTGAAGGGGCTGGCCACCAAGTGCAGCCAGCATCTTTCCCTGGTTTGAGCTGTTGCGGGGAGGGAAGGGGTGGTTGTGGGGGGTGCTGTGAGCAGAGGAGAGCCCACTTCCCGCTTGCCAGGGATATGTTGTTTGTCCTTTGTCAGCGAAGATGACTGCGTCCAGCAGTGGGGGAAGGGAGGAGAGAGGAAGCGGGAAAGAAAAAGGGTGGAAGAAAAGAGAAATGGAGAAAGAGAGGAAAAGGGAGAAAGAAGAGAGGGGAAAGAAAGAGGAGGGGGTGGAGGTCAGGTTGCGTGGTGAGTTATAAGCCCGATCTTTGCCCTGAACAATCTGCTGCAGCAGGGGCAGGAGAGCGATGAAAACTGGACACAAGAGTTCGTTGCTTTCCTGGCCTTTCGCTTCCTCACTGCCTCATCCGCGTGCCACTGCTCGAAGGCAAGTGCTCTGCTCTGGACTGATACCTCCAGGGTGGACAGTTAGGAGCGATTTGACTGGTCCCAGGAATATATATGCCTGGAATAGATATAATTATTAGCTGGCCATGCTATATGTGTCAAGTTGCTTTATGCCAGTCTCATAGTGGGCCATGCTAATAAGCACTGCCAGGGGAAAATCAAGTAGCAGCATGGACATCTGCTTATATAAATTTTGAAAAAGCAACTTAGATACTGTTTTTGAAAATTTAGCTCTAAGTGCTTAATTTGTTTTAGCTAGCATGCTGGAACAACCCATTTCATCATGAGCAATAACTTCTCAGTGTTATTTGTGCTCTCCTCACTGTATCCATCTGTTGATTAACATTAGGGCTTAGGACAGGCAACACACTTACACTAGTGAAATTTACTGATGTAAATTATGCCTGGATTCAGAGCAGATTTACAGAGTTCCCCCTGACCCAACAGACTTTCACTGTTGGGGATCTGGGGGTTTGGGGGATCAATCTCCAATTTAGAGCGGCTGCATGTCTGCAGCTGCTCTCCCCGAACTCTGCTGCCCTGCCTCACAGTTCACATGCTGTGTTCAGAATGACAAGGGGGGAAGGGAAGGGAGGTTTGCTCAGCCTGCCCTGGAAGGTGCGGCAGGTGGATTGGAGGACAATTTCAAGGGGCCATCACATGACAAACGTAAGTTCTATCAGTGCTCTGTGTGCCCAAATGAGCAGATATGTACAAATGCAAATTAAGAATCTTGGGTGAGGCTGTCCAAAAATTTGGCCCTTAATATTGCTTGACTATTTTTCTTACATATGCTTAGCTTGAATCCCATAGGAGATAGTGAAGTGCATTGTTTAATTACCAGTGTAACATTTTATAATTCATTAGTTGTTGGCAAAACAAAAGCTGGAATCTTGCAACCAGACTATTTATCTCTCTTTAGGGGCTGGGGGTTAATATTTGATAGCTCATAACATCTTTATTATAATGCATTTACAATGATTTATTGGAATGATTCTATAGTTAACTATCTAATGTCAAAGACTAGATGTGGTTTGGAATAAAATGTCACATCCTTGGTTAGCTCTAGGGAAAATAAGGCCTCAGCCAAGACTTTCTGTGTAATTCTGCAAACCATAATAAGGATAGGGGTAATTGCAATAATGTCAATTAAGCTATTAATAATGCCCATCTTGTCATTCCTAAATAAAGCAGTCACTCATACATATTACTGTCACTTGTAAACACTACACCTAAATGAGATCATGGCTTAGCTATGCTTTGAAATCTGGTTGACAGCTAGTCATATCTCTTGTATAGTAAAGTACTAACTATTAGTTAGAGGAGAGGGGAAACGCTTACATTTCTTAAATAAGACTATGGACCATGTGTATGTTGCAGAAAGTCACAGACTAAGTGCTAGCTCCTGGCTCATTTTCACACTCCCAAGATGCCAGCTAGGAGTGCTTTTCATCACTTTCAGGCTCATGCCAGAGGATGCCTTGTAATAGCTGACAGGGACGATCTTTAAAAGTAATGCAGCTAGCATCCCTCTGCTCCAAAACAAATAGCATTTCTGTTCATTAGCTCAAGATTTCTGTGTGATCATAGCACCAGGAGATGTGGCCTGTCACTAGTAAGCTGCTGTTAGTGAGGACATTATATTGGCTGTCTTCACAAAGGCAAATGGTGTTTTTTAACAACATTTGTATATTTCTAATTAATCTTAAATGTACTTATTTCTAGATAGGTAGACAAGTTAAAAACAGAAACCTGCTTTAATGCAAATGAACATGTAATCCCCATAAACCATGCACTGATCTAACTTTATAATAATTGCTAGAAACTGACACAGTAGTTTGACAAGACAGAGGGTAGTTGCTGGATTGTGTTGTGCTCTCGAGACTGTGCTTGAATGTCCAGTATCATCGGTTACAGTAATTAGCAAATTTCCAGAACTCAATGAGTTACCGAAGGGGCTGTCTTCGGGGAATGGAGTTGGGGGGAGGGTGGAAAGACAAATACAGGAGGAATCTTTCTGCACTACATCATGATAAATTAGAGGCTTTGGCCAGTCCCCACAGGAGGACAGTGAGTAGGACCATTGTAATCCTACCTCAAGCAGCAGGTGAAGGAGGCAAGAAAGGGTGTATACGTATGTGAGGGGGATGGGGGAATTGAGAATGAGATCTGAATTGTTTGTGAATATCAGTGATGTTCTAATGCTGTTCAGCACTACATCATCCTCCAGAGAGCCCTCAATAAGGTTATTATAGGTGAAGTCATTTTTGTAATAAAGTTGGCTGGAGCTCTATGTCATAAATCATTGGTTCTAGTACTAAAATTATCAAATATTTCAGTCTTGCCTCATGCTGTCTCTCTATGAAACACTTTTGATTTGTTTGCATATTTTCACTGAATGTAAAGAGGAAAAGGCAGAGGGGGAGAACGTTTCCTTCAGCCTTATAGAAAATGCATTTGACTTCCTGGGTTTATTTTCTGAATGGTAGCTTTATGTATTCTTCTGCCAAAAGGAAAACACAATTTCCTCTGGCCTATTAGCATTTACATCTTAGTTTTTGGTTTAACTGACTCTTTATCACAAAGATTTTAATGGTTCTACAACTGAGATAAAGATTAGCCTTTAGCTAGACGGCCCCCTGCAGCTTAAGATACTCTGTGTTAAACATAATAGAATTAGATCTTGACGTATCACTTCTTACTTAGCTTTTATTTCTTCCATACTCGGGCAAATTCTCCATGAAGTAAGGACTGTCCCATTATAAGCCGAGTATTAAAACTGTTACATGTCAAAACTGACAGGAAAAGAAATTGACATCACTTTCAGGATCTTTAGTATCCTAAGATCAGTTAAAAAATAGGATTTCCTTGTCTTTTTCAAACCTAGACACCCTCATTTATGTTGTCAGGACATTAAGATCTGTTATTAAAAAATACCCGAATATTTAATTTCTTTCATAACTACTCCCTTTATATAAGGGGCCAATGCAGAATGAAAATGAATGTTATCATATGAAGTGCATTTCAAATGCAATAAAGCAGAGAGGAATTCCTGGCCCCTGTGGCAGTCATAAGAGGGTACATAGTGTGATCACTATAGCTCAGTGGCTGCAAAGCAGAAAATGAAGATTGTAAAAACGTCACATAAAGAAAAAATGCACAGTGGATTCGTTTTGCGATGCTCATAATTCAGTAATGCCTTTAAGTAGCTAGAAGAAATATAATAAATGTTTTTCCACAACATTGATCATACTGTATCAGAGGAAATATTAGTGTGCAGGGAGCCATGATTATGCTGGTAGTAATTCTCAGTGAAGAAAACTCCTAGAAGATGGGATCCTTTATAGGCTGAACTTTTATTGGCTGCAGTTATTTACCTTTAAGAATACACCTCATACATTGTCCTAGAGCTAAATTTTTTGTGAAAACTCAAACCAGCACTGTCAATAAATCAGAAACCCTGTCACCATTTTATGGAATTTATATTTTTCCTATGGATGCTCTGATATGTTCTGGGATACAAAAAACAGCCAATTGACCATGTAAAAATGATAGAAAGCTTGTAAAACAATTTTTTCTGATGTATTCTAAAGCCTGGATTTGGTCAGACAGGTTTATTGTGTCTGGTTCCATCAAAATATGGCCAGTAAGTATAAAATATCCCTACAAAACATAATGGTTTATTAGATTAGGCAATACAATAAAATACATGGTTATTTGAAGGTTATAAGAAAACATACACAGATCACTTATTGGTTTCTTATTTGTCATACTGAAGAAGTCTTCATAAGTCACAAGAACATGTCTGCATTTTGGAATTTTAAGAGCAAAATCTGAGTATTGATTCCTAGTGTGGTCTCTTGCTCCTCAGGGTGGCAGGAGTTGGTAGTGCTGACGAGGCAGTGTGATTCAACCCCTGGGGGAGGGAGCATCACATCACTGAACAACAAGCACCTCTCTGGCTGAATCAGGAGCCACATGGAGGAGCGCCAAAGAGAATCCCATCCAGCCTTCCTCAGCTCAAGGGATGGAAGCCACAGTGCATGCCAGGGTGAAGAGAGGCTCAAGTGAAAGAAATGGTGGATGTTCAAGGCTTCTCTAGAGACATGGCAGCCTCCCTCCCCCATGCCCTGAGGAAAAAATCAGAATGAATTATAATATTAGTGTCTTGTTCAGAATGATGCTTAAAATGTTAATGGTACCTTATTCTGAATTAGGTTTAGAATGTGGAGCTCAGTGCTCCTCTCCCGATAGACATGCAGCTCCTATTGAGTTAAAGGAGATTAATTTGTCAAGACATAGGAAGAATGTACTCTTTAAGCAGTTCATACAAAGCCTCAAATGTGCTCCCATGGGGTGCACTGTCTCATAAAGTACACTACTGAACAGTTTTTAATTCTGGTATTTCCAAAATAAATGATTCTTCTTTACTGAGGCTGCAATTCAATAAAGTAATTAAGACTATACATATGACTTAAGCATGTGGCGGTTCCCATTCACTTTGATAGGATTACTCACATACTAAAAATTATGCATGTGCATAAACGCATTGTTAGAACTGAGGCATAAATGACAAGACTTTCTGTGGTTTTCCCCATTAGGCTGCACAGAGCACGTGGCCTCAGAATATTTGGTTCTGGATTGATTTTTTTTCACCAAAATGAATGAGTGCCTGTTTTGATTGTTTCTCTGAGATCTAATCATTCCAGAAGAAGACAAACTGAAAGGAAAGAAATTTAAACAGACATAATGCTCCCTAGGAGATTCTCCATAGTCTTTTTTCCCTTGTATACATTAAAATTGAAGAGCTTTTTCATGTCCTGAAAAATAAGGAAAACCCCCCTTTTATCACTCTCTTCACTGTCTCTAGTTTGGGCTGCTAGTTTTTACACAAAGCTAAGGGACAGAACTAGTTAACTTATTTTTTGCCTCTGTCACTACTTGCTGGGAACCTTGGATAAATCACTTAAGCTTTCTATGCTTTAGCTGGTCCACCTTTGAAGCACCTTTACGTGTTTCACGGGCTACTGTGTAAGAGTTAACTAACTAGGGCCTTTTATTACTTTTTTTCTTATAACTAAATTGAAAATTGCACTTCCTACATGTCATACACCAAGTAAATTTTTATACAATGTATTCTTTTCTTACAACTTGAGTTAGGACTTTATTAAAATATTGCAAGAATAGCAGCTTATTTCCATAGAGTATGTGTAATAATATATGTCTATTTATTGGGTCTGAATAGGTATATAATAATAAGGGCATTGAAATTCTATTATTCAAAGCACTACATTTAGTGTAAAATGATATTGTTGTCACTTGAAGGGGGGCCTCATTGACATGGTAGATAAGGAAGGGGTGGGATTTGTGTCCTAAATTAGAAGCCCTAAATTGCAATTAGTCTCCAGATAAGTCACAGAGCCACCAGGTTTAGCTGTGAGGTCAAATTTCAGATGGCGAGAGCCCTGGATTATTTCTATGGCAATAGGCAAGTCAGCATTTTGTGAAAGCTTTATATACATACCAAGATCTGGATTCTTCTTTCCATATGGGAGATTGTCTGCCCCACCCCCATACACATTCGCACAAACCCAGAGGAGAATGCAGTCTTATTGATAAAGTTCAGATAAACTAAAAGAAACAGATACAGGATTTTCTAGCTCGTCATATTCTTGCATTTATTCATTTCAATTAACACTTAATTTGAACTTGGATTTACCACCTTTAAAAAAAGCATTTATTTAACATTGTAATTCATACCACATTCCTGGGGAATACGCACATGTGAATAATCCAAACTGCCACTGGATGTCACTGTTGCATATATCTGGCAGTAAAAAACTTGTCCCTTAAAGACCACAATTTGAAAATGACAGTTTGGGGCAGTTAATCTTGCCTATCTGTATGCAGTTACTGAATAAACAAACAGTACCGCAATGCTATATTCACCTAACAAGACAGGAAGCATAAATCTGGCAATATGTGTCTTTAATACCATGATGACCCTGAGTAACTGTCCTATCACTTATACATTTCTAAAAGCAAAGAAGAGCAAACTTCTTATTAGGATATTGATTTTAAATCTTTATGTAATCTTAAATTGGAAATCCTGTAAGGAAGAAATAGTCTAATTGTGCAACAGAGAGGAAACAGCTATGAGAACAATGAATTGTGAGTCAGGTTTGCTAAAAAAAAACCTTTTGACTTTTGCTACAGTTACTGAAGGGACCATTAATCTGGAAAATTCTTAGCCCATCCTTTTAATTCATTTTTAAAAACATAGAAATAATTTGCATTTAAGTAATTGCCTCTAGTATTTGCTTCTCAGGATACAATATTGAATTGGTTTGGGTTTCCTGAGACAGTAGAACAAATGTGTGACCTGTAGTGTTCCTTCATGTGCAAAGAATCCAGGATCTAGTCCTAAACTGCTGCTACAGCAGGCACAAGAAGTAGCTGGCTCTCAGAAGTTGGTTCAAAACAGAAACAAACCTGCTTGTTCTTCATTATAGTATGAAGTTACCAGAGGATTCAAATCAGTAGTTTTTCAAGCTAGTCTTTTCTTGTCCTGGAACTCATTTTTAATATCCGTGAATGTTTTTGAGTACAGAAATGTTAGAACCATTCAGAGAGGCTTCCTGGCCTAGATTTCAGCTATGGGACTACTTTCTGTTCGTGTAAATTATCACAGAACTGTGTTGCTTGCCATCTATGGAGGGATGCTTTGATCCAAAATTTCAGTCATTGTTTCCACATTTAGGGGCTGGAATGAACATCAAAGAAATGGGTGTACTGAATTTACTGAATGCCAAAGCAGTACAATAACATACAAAGGATATAAGCAAATCCCAAAGGCGAAATGTGCTGCCAAATCTTGCACATAATAGAAACCCTAAAGTGACAGTCTATCTTTGACAAATGCATAATGATATCAATGCCAAGGGAAGGAACTAGCATGCTGAAAGGTGAATAAAAGAGTTGGGAACAATTCACTGCACTTACACATTTCCTCAGTGTGTTTTCACACAGCAAGGAAAGCAGATGACACAAATGCATTAGGTAATCATCAGAGAGGACCACAAACCTGCCAAGGTTTTTATACCAACTTGGCTCTTTTTTTGGCTCAAACCGTGTAGTTAAAAAGAAAACACGGTTAGAAATAATTAATCTTCTGGAAGAATAAAAAATTAGCCACAAGGAAAGTAAAAATGGTTCATTCATTCTTTCTTTGACAAGTTCAGATTTAATGCCCATATGGTACTTGCAATAAGCTATTCTCATTTCTGGTCTGATGCATTCCAAAATGCTTTAGATAGTTTGCAAAGGCAAGTTTAGAAGTTCCACATATATCCACCAGCCTTTCCACTACCAGGGACAAACAGGATCATTATTAGAATCACTGCACAAAAACATCATCGGGTTATCCTGAGAAAATCTAAAACCTACTAGTTAAAGTGCATTTTATTTTTCTTAAAAAACAAAAGAAAAACCAAAGCAAATAATGATTACACAACCTTTATGAAAGCTTTACTTTTCAGCACCTCACTGAGGATAGATGGCAGACATCACCGCAGGCCTGGAAGACACTATAAATATTCTATTCAGAGGGTTATTTGATAAAGGTCCCAGAGCAGGCAATTCTTGCCTCTGTTGAGTTGCTGTCAATATGAGATTCAGAAGGCAAGCTGCTAAAATAAAGTTCCAAAATGAGCCATAAGGTAAATTTGTTCCCCAATCCAATCCAGGTCAGTGGTCTCCTAAAAGTGATCCTATCATACGACTATTTGGGGGTCTTTGTCCAGATCCCAGTAAGGATCTGCAACACTACAAAAGTCATTACCACCACTGGCACTAAACGACCATAGTGAAAAGTATCTGAATCTATGTGAATTTGGCATTTTGTTTAATAGCCTGCTGTTCTATCGTAGACTGCTCTCTTATTGCTGCAATGTATGAAGTATGATGCTGCACTTTGTGTGTGAGCCACATTTATGCTAGAGATATAGCTGCCAGTTAATTGGGATAGGTGTGAACATGACTTTTATGTCCATGAGTGAAAATTTGATACTCCCCAACAAAAAAGCCCACTTTGAAAGACTAATCCACTTAGAATATCACCATTTAGGATGTGATACTCACTCCAGCTGCCACCCCTGAACAACAGGGGAACAACAGGTAAGGGATTTACAGTGAAATAAAAGGATTGTAATACTTTTAATACAGATCCATCAGGGAAAGCATTACTTAAGCATAGGGGGGCAGACAGGATGGAACAAGGTCACCATAATCTGTTCTAATTTTGAGGATTCTCAATTGTTTCAGACTTCAAAGGAGCCCATTAATAGATGATAGGGCACTGTGTATTATAGCATTTCTTGCTGTAACTCAACTTGACGGTCACTTGGGCTCCTGCAGCAGCCTGGAATGCTTAGAGGCATTTGAATGGTTTAAAGCCACTTTAGCTCCTCCATTTCCTCGGCCTATGAGTTCTGTGCTGTCTCTGTGAAGTGTAGAAGATATTTTTGCTATTTGTTATAGTAGGGCTGGAATGCTGTAGCTGTGATGGTTCAAGAAACATTAAGACTTTTTTGTGATCTCTTTTATTAGACCTGATATGCAGTTGGGACAGCTGTTGGACAGGCTCCTGGGCTTTGGGTCTGAGGAAGCGCACCTGATGCCCAAAAGCTTTTCAAGCAGCTAGCCCAACGATGCAGTTGGTTTGGCAGAAGATATCACTCTTAGCTGTGTAAGTTTTAGATTTGTGAGGTATGATTAGGAGGTTGGATGCCTAAGTGATCCGAAGTGTAGCTTCACATATTTGCAGTCCAAAACTTGCAATCATAGACATGGAAGCCTGATTCAAGCTGGGCTGGCAATGTAACAGATATTATGTAGCTTTGGTGTTGAAGAGGGTGGGTATTTAGAAGAGCATTAATTGTGAAAGCATAGTTTTACTAGCTGTAGCAATTACGGGAATGTAGGCAAGTGGTCGATCTTTTAAGCACCTTCTCTTACTGAACTGCTCTGAGCAGTCAAGTGGTGTGTTGCTGAAAATATTAATGCTCACCTGAAGCCCTAACAGTAGCACTCTTCTCTCTTGTACAAGTAGAGGAGCTACACTGGTGTTAGC